CAGCCCCTTGGTCTGTTCTCACAGGCCTGTGTTGTATTCGGGGCACTCCAGTCCAGGCCAGTACCTCTGTCGGTACCAGCCAGTCCAGTCCAATCCCGTCAGTCCGCTGGGGTATACCCCAGCTGTTGTCTGTTTTCTGATTCATTCTGCATTCGCATTTCTTGGAGTACGTGCGTTGGAGTCTCGCGTGGGAGCTGCGCTGTGCCATCTCACTCCCCCTTCTTCCTCCTTCTCCATCTCTATCCCAGGCGGAGCACCACAGCTGGTGGGTCCGCCACACTGGTATCGGAGCGGGAACGTTCCCCGCTCCCACCCACCACCCCGCACAGCAGGGAGAAGCAGCAAAACCCGACAGCCGGGTTTTTGACTGTTTTTCGGGCGTTTTTCGATGAAAATGACGGAAGAAAATTAATAAATCAGAAAATGAGAAGGGAGGGGGGGGGGAATAAGATAATTCGAATTTTTGGAGAAAGGAGAAGATTTAAATCAAAGAAAAAGGGAAAAGAAGAAAAACATAAAAATTCGAAGTAGGGGAGGGCAAGGGGATGAAAGAGTGATGGAGAAGAGAAAAATGGGTGGGAGAGAGAGGAGTGAAGTGGGAGATGAAGGAGATGAGATTAGTAAAAGATGGTGAGTGAGGAGGAGAGGAGAGAAAAAGGTGGTGGGGGATGAGTGAAGAGGGAGGTGGGAGGGGGGGTGGTAGTGGTAGAGTTAGAAAGGATGATTAGATGATGGGGGGGGAGAGAAAAGGGGTTGGGGGAGGGTAGGTTAGTGGAGAGAGATAATACAGGCTCTTGATTGGCCAAGAGCAAAGCACTACCAACATCCACAGGATCTTGACCTTCAAGGTGCTGCTGGCCTGATGCCACAACAATAACAGGATGATGATGATGATCTAGGGTTGGCTGAGATCTTGATCAGCCACCCTACTGCCACAGTCACACAGCCCCCTAGCCAGGGGGGAATCTTGAGCTGCTGCGAAACTGCTGTTGCAGCAGTAGAAAAATACTAAAAAAATAATGTGGGGCAGCCCCCTAGCCAGGGGGGTCTTCAGTCTTCAGACCGGGCTACCACGTGGCACTGCGGATGGTCACGTGCGCAAGCGGCAACAGCCAACGGCAGGGGGGGGTGGCAAATAGCAGCCCGACCGTTGCTGCCCTGTTGGCCGCTGCTCGCCGGCGGGGGGGGCAGTAAATATCAAGCACGCACCTCTTCAACAGCAGCATCCCACATTACAAAACCATACATGCAATATGGTGAGTGTGTTAGAGGAGTAGCTTACACACGTACAAGCCCAGCAGGTGCTTGGGTTCAAACCCCAGCGGCAGCAAGATTCCGAATCTTGATTAATATAATTCGGGGGCGGGCTAGCAGGGCAGCATGGGTGCGTGCGGCGGCCTTGGCCTTGGTGCACGCGTTCGTGCTGACAACTTTCTTCCCGCCACGTGTTGTGCTGACAGGTTCTTTTCCCGCCACGTGTCACTCTATTATAAAAATTCAAATTTCTTTGCGGCACTCTTAAATCCGACTAGGAGTTGGTCTTTCTTGCTTTCGGCACACATTTTGACCCCGTGGGGGTAACGAAGTGCTGCCGAAATTTTCTGGTTTTCTTTCACTTAGTATTTTTCGGCACACTTCGACCCCATGGGGGTAACAAAATGCTGCCGAAATTTTTGACAAATCAGACACTTCATTTCTCTCCACCTCCTCATCCACTTATTTACTTTTATTTATTTATTATTATTATCTTTTTTTTTTTTTTAATTTAATTTGCGGCATTTTGAAACCTACAGACTTCCCCCAAATACGACATACGGTCATTATAGTTGAATTTGGTGTATCTTTCGGTCTAAATTCGGCTATAATGGCCGTACGTCTAGGCTACCAGAGTGGCCCGGGGTCATTTGCCCGGCCGGGCCAAAAAAATTAAAAAAAAATACAATAAAAATAAAATAAAATAATTTTACTTCTTATTCCAAATCTGCTGAAGAATTTCGATGTGACCCTGAGGCAAAAGTTGTTTAGTTTATTTTTCTGCATAACATWGTTTTTTTCCCGATTTTTTGGATTTTCTTTTTTTTTCGCTGGGACCTGCCTTTGTCCTTGCACGGGCTGGCCACCCGGGACCCGGGCGGCCCGACTGGTAGCCTGGCCGTACGTTGTATTTATGGGAAAACTATAGTGTGCTTATCTTGGTCTCTCCTTTCCCCTTGGCACATTCTTGATTATTTATTTTTATTTTTCTCTCGAAATTTCGCTGTTTATTTATTTTTTCTCCCGCCTTCCCCCATCTATGCTTGCTATTTTATTTTCTTGATTAGGTCACTGGTACCCTCCCCTAACCACTCAAACTCCGGTTAGGGTTTTCTTAGGGTTTTTATAGGGTTTAGGGTTCTCCTAACCCTCCTACCTTCCCTTCTCATTCGGCCACCCTGGATCCGAACCACCCCTCCCCCTTTGACGGCGCCTGCGCTCGATTTACTAACGCTGCCCGTCGTCTTCTATCGTAGACCTCCCCCTACGCCCTCCGCTCACGCGGACCTCCTCCGACCCTCTCTAGTCCGGCCCGTTACCTCCTCATGGCCGACGACGTGTCACAAGCCGCCGAGGCGGCGACGATCTCGACATCGGGCTCCACACCCGTGCCGACAGACTAGGGCCACCAGCCCCAGGGGGATTTGCACACCCTCATCACCTCCCTCCTTGAGCCCTTACAGACACAGATGGCGACTCTTGCCGCCGACCTGCGGCAACTTCAGGACGCTGGTCGTCTTTCCTCTCTCCACTCTCTCTCTTCTCCTGGCTCCCAGTCCGGGTCCCCCGTCCTCCGACATGGTGGCCACGGTGGAGCCTCCTCCTCTGCCGCCACCGACCCGGCCATCCTCGTGACCGTCCACGCTCCTAGCGCGACGGCCACCACGACTCAGGCCCTCTTTCACTCTATAGGCGGACCCGCCCTGATTCCGATCACTACGGCCACGGGACTACAACCCGCTACCATGGTTTCAGCTTTCCCGGGTGCCCCGCTTCTCCCTCCCCTTCGCACGTCCTCAGCGCCACCTAGCTCTCCCCCCTCTGGGATGCCTCGCGCCGCTCGTGCGTCCACTTCCCCCATTCTTCGTCCTGCCACTCCTCGCTCGATCTACATCCAACGTCTCGAGGACGAGCTTGCCCAGACCCGGGCCGACCTCGCCCTTTTACGCCTTCAGCCACCCCCACCCTTACAGGTGGCCGCACCTTCGGGCGCACCCCCTCCTTCCTCTATTTTTCCTTCCATGCAGGCTCGCTTTCCTCGCACTGCACCCTATCCAGCCCCATCCTACCTTCTTCTTATTCCCTCGGTGACCGCGACCTCTTCTATCGCAGCTATCTCGCAGCCTGCCGCCGTTGCCCCCACCGCTCCCCCATGCGGTCCGGGTGTACAGTCAGTTGTGCCCCTTTCTCCAGGACCTGCGCCGACTTACTCGGCCGTGGCACAGACCTCTGCTCCTCGATCCCCTCGCCACCAAAATGGTGGCGCACCACTTGTCCGCTTGACGGACATTGCCTTGTATGACGGTACAGGCATACACGTGTCTCAGTGGCTACAGTCTGCCACCCGCACCCTCCAGCTCATGGACGCCCCACCCAATACGTGGGTGGGTCACTTGTCCACACGCCTGCGTGGCGGTCCTTTCGACGCGTAGGAGGATTTCTACGTTTACTCCCTTCGTGCGGGTCGGACTCCGACCTTCGTGGATTTCCAGGCGTTCCTCGAGGATCGCTTCGGAGCCTTCGAGCATGTCGTCACTACACGCTAGTCCGATTCTGGTGGCACTGCCGGCCTGGATTGCCACATCCAGGTCTTTCAGGACGCCCACCTCATTTGTGATGTGGCGTTCCTTCCCGAGGCTTCCCTTATCGATCGTTTCTTGGCCAGCCTTCCCCTTGAGTACCGCTCCGAGCTATAGCTGTACGAATTCACATCGGCCCCGCAGGCTTACGAGGCCGCTAGGGACCATCAGCGGATGCTGGCCCATCTTCAACACACTTCCTCCTAGCCTCAGCGTACTGGTTACGCCCCCTCCTCCTCTCACGACACTTCCCAGCGTCGTTCCTCTTTCCGCGGTCGCCCCCGCCGTTCCGCGCAACAGGGTCGCCAGTTCTCGGGCCGCTTCAGCGCACTCGAGTATGGTGAGCAGGACCCTGTTGCCCCGCTATCACCAGAGGGTGACCATAGCGACGACCTCAACCTCGGCGAGGCCGTCCACTACCACCTGGAGGACTCAACTCTCCCTATGGCCGAGCGCCTCCAGCTCATCCTCTCCACCCTCTCCCGGGCACGCAGCCGCCGCGGTCACATTGGCGCGTTGCCCCCCGAGGTCCCTCAACAGGACCTCCCTCAGGGCTTTGTCCCTCCTCGCGGTGTCCTTTCCGCTGAGGAGCGCGTGGCCATTTTGGGTCGCCATGGGTGTTTGCGCTGCCGCCAGGACGGTCATACCTCCTCGCAGTGCCCTTACACTGTTGCCCTCGACCGCCACTACGCCGACCTTTCCCGCCGGCGTCGTGCTCAGTCCCCCCTCGGCGCCTCACATCCCCGCGGCGCCTCCTAGCCACGGTGCAGTGTACACCTGCGCCATCCTCAGTAGTCGGTTTTCCAACATCCCCGTCGCGGTTTGCCCCTCTCGCTACTGGAGTTGAGGTATCGCAGGACCCGACAGAGTGTACTCAACCCTCTGTCGCAGTACCGTCTGCGCCTCCGCAGACCACCGTCTCCCCTCCTCCCCCTCCGCGACTGCCGACGTGTCGTGCCTTTCGCTCAGCCCGTTGCAGCGAGCAGCTCGTTACTCGCGAGGACATTGTGTCGTCTCTTCTGGACTTGAGCATGCTCCAGGCTCGTCAGGAGCGACTCACCCTCCATGTCGCTGCACTGCGTCGCCTTCTCACCATTCTCTCTGACCCTGATCGCACCCTCCCGATCATTTCAGTATGACTGGGGATCTCAACGAGGGTGTACTCAGCACTGTGGGATTCCGGTTCTCGGGGCGACTTCATTCACCCACGTGTGGTGAAAGAAGCCCGCTTACCCACGACACGGTCTCCGACTCCCATCTCCATCACCCTAGGCGATGACAAGACCCAGCGCTTCTTCGATCAGACGGTCACCGACCTCCCTTTCTTCCTCACTCTCGAGCCGACCGATCGTCCCGCGGCGTCTCGTCACCACCGTTCCTCTGCACATTTCGATGTGATGGAGACGAGGTATGATTTTATTCTCGGTACTCCGTGGTCTCGTCGGTTCCGCAGCACCGAGGCCGATTGGGCGACCAACACTCTCGTTCTCAAAACGAAGTGTGGACAGACGTATCGCGTACCTTTCATAGGTACCACTGCGACACCACGCCCCGATCCTCCTCCCCCGGAGCCTTCCGTGCCCACACCATCTCCTACGATCACTGTCACCTCGCCTCGGCAGTTCGCTCACTTCATCCGACAGAACGACGTCACCTTCTTTATGATGAACGTTACAGATCTCTTACTCTATGATCCACCCTGTCTCGATGTTGAGCTCATCCCTCTGGAGCCAGATCCTCCTTCTATCTCCATGGCTCCCATCTTTCCTTCCTACCCTCCGTCGTCCGTCGAGTCCACCCCGCCATCGCGCGCTGACGTTGACGGTGAGGAACTCGCACGATATACGGCTGACCTGGAGCCCGCAGTTCGTGACCTCGTTCGAGAGTACCACGACAATTTCCCATCATCGTTCTCGTACGCCGATATCCCACCGATGCGCGACGTCGAACACTCCATCCTGCTTGTGCCTGACTATCGTATTCACCACCACGCACCCTACAGACTCTCGATCCCCGAGGCCACCGAACTCTAGCGCCAGCTTGAGGAGCTCCTGAGACTGGGTTTCATTAAGCCCAACAACTCCCTGTGGGGTGCACCCGTCCTCTTTGCTCGCAAAGCGGATGAAACTCTCCGTCTCTGCATCGACTATCGGGGTCTCAACCGCTACACGGTTAAGAACAGTTACCACATGTCTCGTTCCGATGAGTTGTTCGACCGCTTAGCAGGCAACCGCTTCTTTACGAAGATTGATCTTCGTAGCGGTTATCATCAGATCCGCGTCGCTGCAGCGGACCAGCCGAAGACAGCGTTGGGATCGCGCTTCGACCACTACGAGTTTACGGTGATGCCATTCGGCCTCGCCAACGCACCCGCTACCTTCCAGAGGGCGATGAATGACATCTTCAGGGACATCTTGGAGCAGTACGTTCTAGTCTACCTCAACGATATCCTGATCTACAGTCGTACCCTTAAGGAGCACCTCAGACGCCTCTGTGACGTCCTTGACCGCTTGCGCAGACATGGCTTCTATGCCAAGCTGAGCAAGTGTCACTTTGCCCAGCACAAAGTGGATTTCTTAGGACACTACGTGTCTGACCAGGGTCTCCACATGGACGACGCGAAGATCACTGCTATTGCGGAGTGGCCCGTCCCCACATCCGCCAAGCATCTTCGCAGCTTCCTAGGCCTCACGAGCTACTATAGTAAATTCAACCAGGGATACGCTAGGTATTCTTACGTCCTTACCTCCACCCTTCTCGGGAAGAACCCGCCATGGTCTTGGGCACCCCTCTACGAGGACGCCTTTCGCGCCCTCAAGAAGGCGGTGACATGTGCACCGGTTCTTCACCTACTCGATTTTGATCGACCTTTTATCCTTACCACCGATGCGTCGGACTTTGCTGTAGGAGCAGTACTTTCTCAGATTTTCCCCTCCTCTCCTGATTCCTCTTATCCTCGCATCCCTCGCTTCCCACCTCCTATCCCTACCACTGCTTCCCGCCTGATGCCTCCTCGTCCAACTACTAACGAGCCTTCTATTGACTATTCTCCTACCATCGTCGAGGACGACACTATCGAGTCTCGCTCATGTGATTGTCTGATAGCCTTCTACTCCCGTTAGCACCTGTCCGCCGAGATAAACTACACTGTTGATGAACGTGACGTTCTCGCAGTAGTTTATGTCGCTCAGCACTGGCATCACTACCTGCACTGGGCACCATTCACGGTGCGCACGGACAACTCTGTTGTCCAGGCTTTTCTGAMAAAGTCGAAGCTCAYTCCTCGACAGGCCCGCWGGTGGCGCGACCTATCCGAGTTTAGTTTCACCACTGAGCACATCAAGGGTGAGATTAATCGGGTCGCAGATACCTTATCCCGGCGCCCTGACCATGATCTAAAGCAGATCCATCTCACTGCCATCTCGGTCACCACCGTCCACCACTCGGTGACCGATGAGTTTCGCACTTAGTAMCGCCACTGCCCCGACTATCGCGACATCCATGCGACTTTTCGGAGTGGCAAGACCGTCCCAAACTAGTCTCTCGGGGACAACGGTCTTGTGTACTGACACAGTTCAAAGGGCACTAGAGAGCCCCATATTTGCGTTCCCTCCACGGGACAACTACGTGTCCGGGCAGTAGCAGAGTTCCATGACTAGGCAGCCACCGGTCATATGAGCTTCCACAAGACGTTAGCTCGTGTGAGCCGCCTGTACGTCTGACCGAAGCGCAAAAACTTTGTGAAGGACTACGTCGCAGAGTGTCCCACCTGTCAGGAGGTGAACAGTGCGAACCACCTTCCTTATAGTTTGCTCCAGCCTCTTCCTATCCTGAAGGTCATTGGCAATCCATCTCAATGGACTTTATCGGTCCTCTTCGTCCTCCGACCCTCCGCGGTCATGATGCTATCCTAGTCCTCGTCGACCGCTTCACAAAGCGCGCACGCTTTGTTCTGTGTCGCTATGCCATCAGTGCACGTGAGGTCACCGACATCGTGTTTGACCAAGTCATGTGTGACCACGACTTACCTCTGAGCATCATATCTGACCGTGACCCGCGCTTTACCAGCCGATTCTGGCGACGGCTCCACGAGGTGTTCGGAACCCAGCTCCACTTCTCCTCGTCTTACCATCCCCAGACTGATGGTCAGACCGAGGTCACGAACAGGACTCTCGGAAATATCCTCCCAAAGATTGTTTGTAACAACCAGTAYTGGGACCTCCATCTTGCCCACGCGGAGATAGTCTACAACCACGYCGTTTCGCCAACCACGGAGATGTCGCCTTACTATTGCGACCTCGGCTATCACCCTCGTGTTCCCGCGGACTTCCTTCGATCGTCACAGTTGCACCCCGACACGAGTTGTCCCGCGCTGGATRATTGGGTTGCACACATGACGTCGATCATGCAGACCGCGCATGAGCACATAGCCGCTTTCCAGACTCGCATGGTCGCACGTGCGAACCGATGGAGGATGAATCATTCATTGAAAGTCGGTGATGATGTGTTTTTCGACGCTCGCCACTTACAACTTGAAGCGGACACGCTTCGCAAGTTTCGGCGTCGGTTCTTTGACCCATGCCGCATTCTCCAGGCCGTTGGTTCTGATACAGTATCTAGCCCGGTCAGCTTTCGTGTGAAGTTGCCCGACTACCTACACCAGGCTCGTGTACACGATGTCTACCACATCTCGTTACTGCGTCCCTACCGCAGATCGTCCGAGCGTTTCGTTGGACGACCATACGAGCACCCTTTACCCATCATGGTGGACGGCCATGAGGAGTTCCTCGTTTCAGACATCATTGGTCGTAGAGTCACCGACGACAACCCTCCTCACGTCGAGTATCTCGTACGTTGGAAGGGTTACCCTGATGAAGAGGTTACTTGGGAGCCCCTCGAGCACTTGCAGCACGTTCGCATGTTGGTGCRTGCCTATGACCGTGCTCGTCGTGCTGGGTTCACTGCCCCTCCTCAACCCACTGACCCCGTTCCTTCTCCCTCGGCTGAGGAGACCGCTGAAGTCAAGCCTGCTCCATCTGAGGCAGACCTTCAGCAACAGCCAGATGCTTTTAAGCGTCCACAGCGCACTCGTCGTCGTCTTGCTCGATACGACGATTGACTCTGACTTATCTTCCCACGTCTTTGACCTCTCAGTACTCAATCCACACCAGTTTTGCCACTTCAACTCGTCGGGACATTGCGGCACTTCCTCGACGGCATTCCGGACTTCTCATCATGAACGTAATCGGCAGCTTCATGGACTTCGTCACGATCAACTCCGCCTACTTTAGACGTCGTCACTCTCTTACCACCTTACCCTATTCAGTACCCTTGTTGTGTCGCATGATGGTCTCCCTTTAGTCGGGTTCCTCTCAGTTGGACTCTCCCTTGGTATACGCATAGGCATCGGGACCGTAGTGTTGCCCTGGCTTCCCAACTTACGGATCTAGCTCCGACTTCCCTCACTTCAGGAGTTATTTGCATGATTCTCTTCCCATCACTTTTTCTACCTTCTGCCGACCCTCACGCCCTAGTTAGGCAGCCTTGCATGCTTCATTTAGGTGTGCCCAGTATACCAGGCTCCTTTATTCCCTTGCATGGTCGACCCTACATAGCGGTCACCCCTTCAGTCGAGCATTACTCGCCCTGATGGTCTATCTGTTAGGGTCATTGGTTCTGTTCACTCCCAGTTCCCTACCCTCATTGAGCCTGATGACCCTGTGGTTTTGTGACACACCCTTCCTGTGACATATGGTTGTCTTGTTATTGTTTTGTTGCTCTCGGATTGAGGCCTCTGCCTATGACATTTCTAGGATATAGTTGTCTTTGCTTTGGCTGTTTCCAGTCCGAGGCCACTGCCTCCAACAGTCTAGGACTTAGTTGTCATTCCTTTCTGCTTTCCTAGGACATGTATACTAGTTAGTTGCTTCTTGCTTTCACTTAGGCTGTTAGTTGTGACATTGGCTTTTGTGACATTTTTCTAGCCTAGGTTGCATTGCATGGACTCGGCATGGAGCTTGCTCCGCATCCTAGACTACTTAGTTTTTCTTTTCTTTGGTAGAGTTCCGCTTCTTGTTAGTTTTTCTTTTCTTTGGTAGAGTTCCGCTTCTTGGCGGACGCGTGTTTGTATCTAGGCGATCCATCACAGGCCGAGGATCGTGTAGCGGACCTCTGGTTGGCCTGTGAGACCAGCCCCTTGGCCTGTTCTCACAGGCCTGTGTTGTATTCGGGGTAGTCCAGTCCAGGCCAGTACCTATGTCAGTACCAGCCAGTCCAGCCCAGTCCARTCAGWCCGCTGGGSTATACTCCARCCAGAGTCTGTACTTCGGATCATTTTACATTCGCACATTTTGGAGTACGTGCGTTGGAGTCTCGCGTGGGAGCTGCGCTGTGCCATCGCGCTCCCCCTTCATCCTCCATCTCCATCTCTATCCCAGGCGGAGCACCACACCTGGTGGGTCCGCCACAACACTTGAGTCGAGATATTCCAACAATGAAACAGTTTTTTTCTTGTTCAATTTTTTTTTTGGGAACACCCTGAGCCGATGATAGGGGTGCTGATAAGAGCAGGCACCACTAGCACTCCCGTGGAGGCTCCATCTATTGGTGGGGAGCGACACCTGCTGGAAAGCGGGTCCAGCGTCCCAGAACATTGTATTTGTTTCAACTTGTTTGTTTGAACAGCCATGTAATTGAAATGACAGCAAGGTCCCCCTCTTTTCTAGTCTACCTCCCTCTCTGTTCCCAAAACTCATGCTTGCCGGTGATAAGCAACCGGACTGCTGCCCCCCAGAATAGATGGGGCCTTTTTTTTTTTCCAAAAAAAAAAAAAAAAAAAAAAAAAGAAGACAGCAAGCTACTGTGACAGCCTAAGGTAAGTGATAGTATACACAGATCTCCTGGCTGCTACTAGGAGAGTTGGTAACAAATCCTGAATATCTAAGTGACAGCAAACAGTCCATTCATCCAGAAAACAGCCTGCTGTTGTCCTAGTTGTTTGTCTGAACAGACATGTACTTGTAATGACAGCAAGCTGCAGGGCCGCCCTACAAAGAGTGAGATTTGGCAGGTTGAAGTACCCAGCAGCCTGAATTGTTTGCCTACATGACAGCCTAATGTAAGTGATGGCATACTCAGATCCCATGGCTGCTACTAACAATGAAACAGTTTTACCTGTATAGAAAGTAACATGGAGCATAAAAAACCCGTTGACAATTGAAATCCCTTTGTCGACTATGTTTACTTTGGTTTCCTTAGGGGTACCCCTTCCATTTGTTCTTGCAGTTCCCCTTTTACTACGCCTCTCATGTACAAGGCTGGCCACACCGATTGTGGTTGAGCGCCACCTGGCCACAAACTCCCATGTTCCTCAAGCGACCAGTGTACCTTTCTCAGCTATCAATGCTGAGCCTAAAATTGTCCTGCGCACCCCCCCCCCCAAAAATAAAACGGGGTGTGCCTCATTTYGGCTGGCGCCAGCAGCCATTTCGGTCCGGTACCCAAACTGTAGAAAGTTGCCCGTGTTTTTTTTTTTTTTTTTGGGCCAAAATGCTCCAATCTATTCGTGGGGAGCAGCACCTGCTGGGAACCGAGCCAGTATTAAAGCACCGGGGACATTACCCGGCGTCGGCTGAAGAAAATCTTGCTCGTGTTAACCGGCCCGTATTTGTTTTTCAACCGGGGAAAGGTGCTGGTGGTTTAACCGCAAACTTGCACACGTGTGCATGTCTGTGTGTGTGTGTGTGTGTGTGTGTGTGTGTGTGTGTGTGTGTGTGTAGCTGTGTGTGTGTGTGTGTGTGTGTGTGTGTGTGTGTGTGTGTGTGTGTGTGTGTGTGTGTAGTGTGCACACATGCACACACTGGGAATTTTTTCACGAAGTAAGTCGAGTAGAATGCCCAGGTACTGGAACCTCGCTCGGACCGGCAGCCTTGACTTCAGCTTGGCTGCCATTTGGAGAGCGAGCCATTATAGTCGACTGCTGCATCATTTATTTCTCAGCGGCTAACGTTACGTGATGCCTGACTTGTTAAAAAAGAAAAAAGAATCTGGGTCATTCCAGTGTGCCAATCTGGAAGTTGTTCCAACTTGTCCCTTGTTTTTTTCTGCTAACAACTGTAACAATAGTTCGAGTTGGACCCCACAAGAAAAACGATGGAAAAGACGTGTGGCCATAAAAAGCGGCCGAACGATTTTGGAAAGGTTGGAAACTGTTTTGTCGGAACCCCATAGCGGACTGCGTTTTGCGGCAAAGTGCGCAAGTGATATTCCGTAATAGGAAAGGTGCCCGTTCAGCAACCCAAAAAGGAAAGTGGCCGAATGTCTGGAAGGTGTGGGGTGGACCCAAGGAATGACGGTGCCGCCTCATGTGGGTGACGCAGGGCARCGTGTGCGAGAGGCAGTGCGACCTCCCGGTGCTGAGAGGGCCGAAGGGGACCGGCCATCCCCGTGGCGCTGGACCCAGTTCCACAGACGGTACCGTCAATGAGACCGTTGCAGCAGGCCTCCCCATTCTGTAGGTGCTCGTTATGTATGCGAGCCGCTGCGTTTCTGCGTGTGTGAAAGCTCTCGCCACCATAATCAGTGCCGCCTGCCTCGTCCATCGCTCTTTCGTCCCGTCCCCATCACCGCAGCTGAGAGGACGTGTTCGTACGTCGATGCGCGTGGCGTGTGCAAACCTCGTTGTATGGAGCGTGGTGCGACGTCAGACCCGATGGATGATTGGGACGATTCCATGTTCCTGGTGTGACATCAGACCCAATGGATGATTGGGACGATACCATGTTCCTGGTGCGACGTCAGACCCGATGGATGATTGGGACGATACCATGTTCCTGATGGTTTTCGTCCTTCTGCAGTGCATGAACCGAAGGAATGCGGCGGCCATGGCTGTCCTGCAGGCAACGGCTGCGATGCCGACTTGTCAGTCGGGGTTGTCTTCCACCCTGTTGCATCTCACGGGTGTGGAGATGCACAACATGTCACTGGCGGACGTGCTGGGCAGTGTGTTCGTCGGTCGTGTGGATGGTCGAAGACGCGTGTGGGTGTTGGAACGCACTGGGGGGGGGTGGAACCGTGGAAGGACCTCCAAAGAGAGGGAGGCAGGCAAGAGAAGGTCTTTCAGTGGTTCTGCAGACTTCCCCGCCCATTGTTCATTGAAATTCTGGCTCGCATAGCGCCACATATCCAGAGTCAGACGACGAACTGCAGACAGTCAGTGTCGGCGGCGCAGAAGTTTGCATGCGCTCTCATCAGGTGGGCGATGGGAGGTTACTACACGCAGTCGGCACATGGTTTGGGGCTTGGTTTGGCGAGCGCGCTGCGGAGCAACATCGATGTCGCCGATGCGCTAATCAGGGGGTGTATGGCCATTTGCTCCAATTCCCAACCGGGCAGAAGCTGCAAGATAYGCTGGACGCTTTCGAACGCAAAGGTCTCCCGGAGTGCGTAAGAACCATAGACTGCACCCATGTGTACATCGAGAAGCCTGCAGGTCAGAGGGGGGAGTGTTTCTATGATCACACCGACCAATTCTCTGTCGTGCTGCAGGTGGTCTGCGACCATCAGTGCCGAATTCACAGTGTTTTCGTGGGTTGCCCGGGGTCTGTTCATGATAGTCGGGTGCTGCGAGTGTCTCCTCTGCATCGCGAGGCGCAGCGCGGAGGTGGGGTGTTCAACACGGGCGGGGAGGTGCTGCGTGGTGGCCGCACAATTGGCAGGTACTTGCTCGGCGACGCCGGCTACCCGCACTTGTCGTGGATTATGACTCCGGTTGGGGGCAACAGCAGTAACGCGGTTGAACAGGTGTATGATGATTGTCACACGTCCGCACGGTCGTGCATCGACCGCGCTTTCGAAAGATTGAAGGTCGTGTGGAGGAACTTCATCAGGACACAGATCGCGAATATGAAAACCCTTTGCAAAGAGTTTGTGGCCATTTGCATACTTCACAACCTGATGGTGCATGACAGGGTGCAGGTGGATCCTGAACTGCTATCCGACGACAGTGATAGTGATGGTTGTGATGTGCAAAGCCGACGTCGGCGACGGCGTCCATGTCCGCAAACGCGGCATGCACCTTGTCCGCCCCCTCCAGAGGAAGACGCATCATGTGCTATTGAGTTGGGGAACGAATTGAGGGATTGTCTCATCATGCATGTCTGGCATCACAGTCGTGTTCACGGGGCTCCTCCGCTGAACCCTTCGCAGCGATGGTGCAAGGGGGGTTGGCAATACAAATTTTGAGCGGAAGTAATCATTATTTTGGCCAGTTTGTCATTCTCGGTAGACGTCGACTCGATGGATGCTTCTCTCTCTCTCTCTCTCTCTCTCTCTCTCTCTCTCTCTCTCTCTCTCTCTCTCTCTCTCTCTCTCTCTCTCTCTCTCNGAAGCCTGCAGGTCAGAGGGGGGAGTGTTTCTATGATCACACCGACCAATTCTCTGTCGTGCTGCAGGTGGTCTGCGACCATCAGTGCCGAATTCGTTTTCGTGGGTTGCCCGGGGTCTGTTCATGATAGTCGGGTGCTGCGAGTGTCTCCTCTGCATCGCAAGGCGCAGCGCGGAGGTGGGGTGTTCAACACGGGCGGGGAGGTGCTGCGTGGTGGCCGCACAATTGGTAGGTACTTGCTCGGCGACGCCGACTACCCGCACTTGCCGTGGATTATGACTCCGGTTGGGGGCAACAGCAGTAACGCGGCTGAACAGGTGTATGATGATTGTCACACGTCCCCACGGTCGTGCATCGACCGCGCTTTCGGAAGATTGAAGGTCGTGTGGAGGAACTTCATCAGGACACAGATTGCGAATATGAAAACCCTTTGCAAAGAGTTCGTGGCCATTTGGATACTTCACAACCTGATGGTGCATCACAGGGTGCAGGTGGATCCTGAACTGCTATCCGACGACGGTGATAGTGATGGTTGTGATGTGCAAAGCCGACGTCGGCGACGACGTCCATGTCCGCAAACGCGGCATGCACCTTGTCCGCCCCCTCCAGAGGAAGACGCAGCATGTGCTATTGAGTTGGGGAACGAATTGAGGGACTGTCTCATCATGCATGTCTGGCATCAAAGTCGTGTTCACGGGGCTCCTCCGCTGAACCCTTCGCAGCGATGATGCAAGGGGGGTTGGCAATACAAATTTTGAGCGGTTGGCCAGTTTGTCATTCTCGGTAGACGTTGACTCGATGGATGCTTCTGTGTGTGTGTGTGTGTGTGTGTGTGTGTGTGTGTGTGTGTGTGTGTGAGTGTGTGTGTGTGTGTGTGCATCCATTTCTATGCATTCAACCCCCACGACTAGAACCATCAAAGCCCCCAAATCCACCCTCTCACCATCCACGATGCCACCGTCATGCTTGCGGCCGATTCATTAAACATGAAGCAAACGAGCAGAAGAGGAATCGGAATCACGAAGAACTAAGGTCTGAACAGAAAAGCACACAGGACTAGGCACCTCACACGACAACATCCAACTGAAATGCGTTGTCCACGCAAATATCGAAGCCCATCACAGAATGAAACATGTTCCCACGAAGAGAACGCCCACAACGAAAACAATCATCAATTAACCGGATCAATCTTAGGCATCGTATCACTGCTAACACTTTCCCACCCTGAACTAATGATGACACGAACGTGAACAAACTATGTGGCCGCACAATATACTGGTCGCGGAAAACCTATCACAAGACTGGACACCAGCCGGCAACGGCGTCTAAAATCTAGGTGGCGGCTCAACTGCTGCCATAAACGAGGCGGCACACCGTGTGGTTGGCCAAAGTAGAAAAATGGCATGAAAGTCGGCTGCCATGGACTATCAATCAGCCTGAATGGCAAAAATTCACCACACTCACTAGCTGCCCCACGCGCCACGTGGCAAAGTAAAAACATTCCACACTACGTGGTCACCAAAGAAGCCACAGTAATCATCAACCGCACCATCGCCAACTGCCACACATTCACCACACCGGCCAGCTGGGTTGCGCGCCACGTGGCGAGACAAAGACGTTGGACACTCGCTGGTCGCCGAAAAAGTCGCAGCCCCATCAACCATACCCTCCCCACCTCCCACACATTCACCACACCAGCCAACTGCCCCGCGCGCCACGTGGCGAGACAAAGACGTTGGACAATCGTTGGTCGCCGAAGAAGCCGCATGCCAATCAAACACACCATCGCCACCTCCACACATTCACCACARCAGCCAGCTGCCCCACGCGGCTTGTGGCGAGACACAGACGTTGGACAGTCGCTGGTCGCCGAAGAAGCCGCAGGCCCATCAACGACACCATTGCCACCTTCTGAACCCGACGTGAGGAATGGCATATGGCCGCGTCTCCGTGCAATCATCCGGTTGCCCGTCCACTCCACACCCAACTTCTCCTACATCCGGATCTCTCCATGGAGGTATCCACGACCAACAATCGGCGGATCAAGGAAAGTGTAAAAAGAACCACCCATGTCAGCGCTACCGGGAGCGCTGCGCCCTGCTCGACCGGCGCTCTCACACGCACTTTCGCACGGGGCGTCTCTGCTGGGCAAGGTTGACCTGCGCTTTCATGGCGCATCAAACTACGCAACGAGGGTGTCTGGGAGGCTGTTGGGGGCGACGATCTCGCGTGTTTTACGATCTGCTTCAGGTGTGGCTCGTGCTGATGCCATGCTTCTTTTGACGCGCTCTCCCTGTCCGTTCTGAGCTGGTTAGCTTCGAAGTTGGGTTTTGTGCAAGTCACATGGACAGGCAGCATGCGCAGCACTCCAAGTTACAGGTGAATCAACGTCGACTGGTTGTTCTTCTGTTGCGAATGAGGCTGCCTATGAGATGATGCGTGGGGCGAAACTCTTCCCTCTTCCTCAATCATGGTAAGTGTATGGTAAGTGTGGTGGYTTGGACCCCCYGTGGCGACTYGCCAACGGGTTTGGCGAGGGGGAGCCACACTGTTTTTGATTCCTTGGAATCGAWGATGGCCGATTATGCCTTTTGGAGTTAGTGTTGCCTTGAGCCGATAAGCTAGCAATGGGAGGAAGGGAATCTTTCCTTCCCTAAAGGCGCAGGGGTAGGGTTTGAAGGGAGGGAGGGAGGTGGCAGGAAGCGATGGTTGAGGAAGCGGGGATAGGGGTTGTGTGTTATTGAAATATGATCCACGCGTGGTCTAGATGAATTCCCTTCTTGAAAAATAACCAAGCCTTCTTAATCCGTGTGATCYGCTGTTGATTTTACAATTGAGGATAATATGAGATCTTGTTTTTTTATTCTTGATTCGCTTTCCCTACGGGGTTCATCTGGTATTTTCTTGAATTTCTGATGCCGGATGAGTCGTKTAGATTTTGTGATCGATACTTTTGTGTTGTGGTGTTTTGTCTGATGATTGATGTTCCCCGGTTAGATTTTATCAAAATTCCTGAATTCTGTTATGAAATTTCATCTCTAAATAGCTGTTTWCAATAGTCCTTTATGTTGGTTCCTTCATTTGATCTCGATCTTTTTCAATAATACTTTCTGAAGAGAATACCTAGGAAATTTCCTACAAAAATTCCTGATCCTTTACAATTGAGTCCGGTTTTGGACATTTCATAAATTCGTAAATTTCAATCTAAAAGGTCAAAGTTCTATAACTGGGGGTCGATAGATTTCCAAACCATTCTTGAAATTTACRTCTAAAAATCTTGGTTCTGAATTTCGATTTCTAAAATTGATTTCCTCTTGCAATTTCCGAAGATTAATCTTGCACCAATTTGTCTCATAAAAATTGACGTTGGAAACTTTCACATAACTCTTTTGGGATTTTTCGTATTTTCAACCTATTCTTGCTTGTCTCTTCCTTAAGGAAGGTGCTGGTTGCGGGAATATGAAGGTATGATGGAGGGAAAGGAAGCGCTCTGCGGGAAGGGGCTAACTGCAGAGTGGAATTAGGGTATAGCAGAAGTGGAGATGGTGGCTTCACTGCAGTAAGTCTTACCGGAGTAAGGTTGGATAGGCTTGGGAGGTGGGTGCTATCAGCCCCTTCTTGGGCTTGTTTTTGTGAGGATTCGTAAGGGGGTGCAACAAGGGAAGGGCCTTTGTCTTCTTCAGTAGGTCAGAAGGACGTAGTTGGGACGMCGCAGGCCGGTGCTGGAGCGTTGCTCTGTAACCAGGGGGAGCGTGAGGCCTGGGGAGTTTTGTCGAGGGAGGAAGGCAGAACCAGCCACGTTYGACGTAGCCGTTGCCAGGGTTTTATCCCTGTCACCTAGGGGCGTGCGGCGAACGGGAGTTGTCGAGGGAGGAAGGCACTCCTTGCCGACTATACCAGGATCGTCGGTACCGGGGCATGGCGGTGCCCTGTAACCCTAGCATAAGGAGTTATGAGACCAGCCACGTTTAGGTTCGAGGACTGATCACGGGGACTTTGTTTTTTTTCTAACCATTGCATGAAATTTTTCTAACCGTTGCATGGAAGTTTGTTAGTCGGTGGTTTCGGTCCGGAATTCTTGCTTTCAATCTTTTTGTGGTGCCTGGATTGATAATCTCGGTTGTTTCTCGTTTAAAAAAAGGGTTTGCTGGTTGCCTAATTTTGTTTTATATTTCGTCAGAGGTTTGTCAGAGGCTCGTCTCATTTTTCTCCTATGAAAAACCTAATGGGACACCCTGTGGAGCTTTTGGGGACCTGCTTGAAGTAAGGGGCCAGGGGCATCAAATGATTCTTTACAAGGACGGAGAGGGGGAGGAAATAGGGCTGCTCGATGGGTACCGGCTAGAGGGGTCTCTTATCAGATGCGATTGGCGTCAGGTAGTCTAAGCTGGCTGATGGGTACCGGCTGAGGAGAGGGAACTCTGGCRCGATTGGCGTTGGGTAGTGCTAGTTCACCACCTCGATGACGGAGACTGAGATTCTTGTGGGGTCAAAAAATGTCAGGGTGATGATGGTGCTCGGCCCCCGCGGAGAAGAGGCTCTCTGAAGTTCTTCACGACGACRGAGTTGGGAAGGACGGAGGTGATTCGGAAGGAGGAAGTTGGTAGTGGATGAGATTGGCGCTGAAATTTCGGCGGGTACTGGCCACTACTCGCTAACTTCACCCGGATCAGTCTACGTTTCTTCCCTTCGATGATGGAGGCAGGATTGTTCTGTGGGGCTATKTTCCAAAAAGAGGTTGAGTGGGATGAGTGGGAATAGGTGGTTGGTTATCAAGCGTCCTACTAGTGCGGGTGGGTTATCACGCGTCCTACCAGTGAGGGGGCTAGCTGGCAGGATGGGAGTATGACATAGCAGCAGCAGAGATGGTGGCTCTGCTGCAGTCAGTCTTGCCGGAGGGGGGTAAAGTGGATTGAAGGGGGATTCTGAGTCGTTTCTGAATTCTGATTAATCATGAAGTTGTTATAGACATGTATCAAGTAGCTCGAGCCAAARCCGGGTAATGGCCCCGGTATCTCAATTTCTAAATTTCCATCCTTAGCCAATCAGATTTTTCTAGTAGTTCCTGGTCTCATTTTCATGAAATTTTCTGATGGAGTTTTCTGAACGAACTTGTTATGGGACACTGGGCCCTGTTCCCAGTTTGTGCCAATTTGTGAAGATATGGTTGTATCTATGGGACGCTGGACC